CCAGAGATAAAACGTCTTTTTCGTAGTATAATCTTTTTTTATACTGCTTTGTTATATCCTTATTTATCTTTAACTCCATTTTACTCTTATTATCTTTCTTTCTGCTCTAAATGATACATTTATTTTTTATTATAATCTTATTAGTAAGTGGGATTTGATTAATTGTTACTAATATTACACTTAATAATTGAAATGTAAAAACTTGAAATATCGGAGATTCTATAATATATCGTATTTCTTTTACATTTCGTATTCATATTTCGGCTTTTTGAATTTTTCAAATGTAATAATCTTTTTTTCAATATTATTGCGCATTTATTATTATAAAATATTTCTTTAAAAATTTAAATAGTTTTTTTCAAATATTTCTTTATGTTTTAATATTATGTTATTTACTTTATTTCAATTGTTTATTTTCAAACTCTTTGCGTACATCATTTATTATGTATGTTTTATGTTGTTTTAACGTTCTCTTTGATAATATAATATATGTATAATGTGTTTTTTGTTAGATAGACTCGCGTTCGTTTAATCTTTCCCCGAAATAACGCGGACAAAGTTCGGTTCTTCTCACAAAATAAATGTTTTTCTGTTATTTCAATGAGTTTCGTAATCTAGATTAAAAGAGACACGTATTTTTTTATTTATTCCCTTACAATTGTTAAAAGAACATTCTTATAAATGAAATATTAATATAATTATAAATTAATATAATTATAAATTTATATAATTATAAATTGTTACTCTTAGAAATGAAATACTATTTTAAAGGAAAAAAAATGCGTATCCCTTATTTATTAATTTTTTTTATACAAATTATAATCTACTCAAGACTCAAAATCGGAGAAATATACTTGTGTTCTTTAACAGGCAAAAGAACATTCTTATAAATGAAATATTAATACAATTATAAATTAATATAATTATAAATTTATATAATTATAAATGAATACTCTTAGAAATGAAATACTATTTTAAAAGAAAAAAATGCGTATCCCTTATTTATTAAATTTTTTTATACAAATTATAATCTACTCAAGACTCAAAATCGGAGAAATATACTTGTGTTCTTTAGGCAAAGGCACGATGAGTCGAGATTGGAGAGTACATTGAAAAATTTCCAATACGCGATTTAACGCCCCTCAGATTGTTACCGGATTCATTTTTTTAGTCAGCTTGATCGATCGATCGATCTGGTTAAGAACTCTCGTAGCGATATATTGTTTCACGAAATATCGCGAGGCTCCTTGCTGGCATGGATAGTATCGTTGGCATTCAAACGCGATCTCATGCATACTGCATGGGATGTAAAGCGACTTACAGGCACAATGACGTCAGTGTCGTACAGAAAGGGTCGTGAGAAAGGGCTGGAAAAAGGGATGAGGAGAGTAGCGAGATCGAATCTTGTTTACCGGCAGTCATTGCATTACACACCGGACATTGTGATACAGGCAGAATTAACACTTTACACTCTATTTTCCTTTGGCGCAAAACGCGCATCCTCTTGATTTTATCGAAACTTTGAATTCAACATCAACATGCTCTCGAAATGCGGATATAATAGATGTTTTCCGTTCTAAAATCTGCTACAATATACATTTAAACGGATTTGATTTTATACGACGCTCTTTTTCACAAAACATCTGATCTTAATTTTGCACTAATCTTTATGTGTCAAACATTAACTTCTCGGTGTTCTTTTTATCTTAATTTCTATCATTCTCGTGTGTGTGTGTTTTAAAAGATCGATCTTTTGAATTAACTTTTTTATTTTAACTTTCTTTTAATTAATAACTATTTTAATTAATAATTTCTTTATTTTAACTTTATTTTAATTCTTTATTTTTATTATTGAATTTTTCGGAGAAATCAAAAATACATTTAGCATTCTTTAATTTTAGAATCATCAAGAAAATAATTTCTAATAAATTCCTTTGTTCAAAAATGACAAAATAATGTTGTGTAAAATACTTTCGATATTTTATATCTATTTGATATTATATATTGTCAATTTGATATAATGATATTTTAATTTGAATGAAGAGCTATATTTATTGTGTGTCAATTACATTGTTATTAGGAAAAGTAAAACGACTTTGTCATTAAAGACGAATATATTTATTTTTATTGTTTGTATTACAATTTTTATTTTGTTATTTAAATATATTTTTTCCTATATCAAACAACAATCAGACTAAACAGAATCAAAATCTTAATTATTATTCTTATTAAATCTAACAAGACAGACACAGTATTATCTTAATATTAGATTTGTTAAAGTAAATAATAAAATAAATATAAAATAATAAATAAAAAAATAATAAATAAAAATAATAAAATGAATAATAAAATAATAAATAATAAATAATAAATAATAAATAATAAATAATAAACAATAAATAATAAATAATAAATAATAAATAAATAATAAATAGTAAATAATAAATAATAAATAATAAATAATAAATAATAAATAATAAATAATAAATAATAAATAAATAAAATAATTAAATAAAAGGAAGTGCTAGATAAAAAGTAAATATATATTGCTTTTAATTTGCATGCGAGTTTTTATCTATTTAGAGTAATAGAGGTACTTATGCAGTTGTAGCTTCCTTTAATTACCGATTCTTTAACCAACATGGAAAAATTCACACTAAAGAGATTAGCATTAAAAGCGATGGGTTAGTTAAGATTAATTATCGTGCAGTGAGACGAATAATCTGGCAAGCACCGACCCGTGAGATTAGTGGTCTTCAATTGGCGCCGTTGTGATCCACAAATAGATGCAATAACAACAGACAATAATAACAGTATAACGACCCTATGTACGAGTACTCGGATTAAACGTGGGTGTTCATCGGACGTCCTTCGGCAATCGATGCCTAGGGAACGTCAAGATGACTGACCTTCGCTTGAGAATTGCCTTTGTCAAGCTAAGCTTAAAGGCTCGGTCGTAATAAATAATGTTTGTTTGCTAACAATCTCTCACGATAATCGAAATCTATATAGAAGTAGAGTGTATTATTTTACAGACAAACAGATTGTTAATTATGTTAAATAGACATTCTTCTATTATAAATTGTATCACGATCTATTAGTGAGCAGTTTAATAAACTACAGTCCAAATTTATGCGAATTAAAGACAATTTTTGTCACATAATAAATATGCAAATAAATGGAAAAGTATTGGATTAAGTCCTTATCGGGGAATTTTTTAAATACTTTGGAAATTAGAGCGGAAACTGCCACAATTAAAATTGCGACATTTTATTTTTTTTCTATAAAAAGAGAAAGCTTAATTAATAATTAAGCTTCCTATTTTTATAGAGAGAAAAATAAAATACTTAATTAATATTTACACAAAATATCGAAGGAATAAACTACAAATATTTTCTTAAAATAATTTGTTCCATGAAAAAATATGCATGTTTATTGATCGAAAGAATAATAAGAGAGAATAATCGAAATATTCTGAAAAATTAATTTCATCAGGAAGTGTTTTTACGGATTAATCGCGAGATCATTTGGTAGTGATTTATGCTCTCATTTTGTTCTCTAATTCCGTGTCGTCACTTTGATCGGCATTATCGCCAGTCGAAGGTTCTTCGTCGCAGTTTATCGCTTGACTTTTATCACTATAACGAGATCGTGCGCGAGATCTTGTTACGACGATCCATAAAAAACTCATATACGAAAGTAACGCAAAAGTGCAAAACGCGAGAATAGAATGAAACAAAAAATTGCTTCACAAAAGTTATTATATAATTAATTAATTGGAATTATTATAATAATTAATATTATTTTGCGTCTCTTATAAATATTTTGTTTATAATAAAAAATATATATACATATATATAGTGTTAATAATTGCAATTATATTATAATAAAACAGGAAATGGAATTCAAAGTGATAAAAAGTAGAAATAGAACGATATTGAAATATTTAAATGAATATTGTTAGCTGTATACCATTTGCTTTGTTTTTATGGATCTCTCAATTGCAATCTCGCATCTTCTCTGTTTCGTTATGATCATATATCCGTGAAGAACAATGAAAATGAACATGCAAATGATTATCGTTACGAAAGCTTATTTCGCCTCAACAGAAATAAGAATGTAACTACGAGTTGCGTAACATTCCATCGCTGCAATCGATTGGAATCGAATAAGTTGGTAAGCAAAGCGGAATTAAACATTTCACGGAAAAATAGATATTTCTGATTAGCATGAATTATTATTATCTTGCTCCAGTTAATTATATAATAAGTTGACAAATGAAATATTCGAGAAATGTTGAAGTCTGAGAGACAAAGATATCACTGAATATTATTTCTATTTACGTAGCTTATAATAAAAAATATATAAAAATATTACGTAACACGAGCTCGATAGCATTAGTATGTATTTACTATAAGGATTGTAAATTTAAGAATAAAATTCTTAAATCAAATAATATATATTTTATTTATATTTTAGAGATAATATTTTTATTTATTTGAAAGAGAATAAGCAAGGAAAAGTGTACAATTTCTATAGAAAAAATTATACATATCTATAAACAAAATATACAGCAAACTTTTATAGACAAAAAGTTTATAATTTCAATACAAATGGCTCTATTTTAATCAAATGTAAGCATGTACATAAATATTTTATTGAAACTTAAGTTTAAATATTATATATTTTTCTTAATAAAGTTTATTATTTCGTTATGACAGAGACTATTAATAGGAATAATTTTTAATCATTATCTATAGTCTATTAATTAGACATTGCTTAAAAATTTTAGCTAATTTTCGTTGAAATAATAATGCGAAGGAGAATGATAAAAATGTTAGAAGGAGAAAAATCAACGTTGATGTAGGTTAGAATTAAAATATAAATCATATTATTTAAGATTAAAAGTATCGAATACTTATTGTTAATTGAACGAAAAAAATACATATATAAAGTTTCCTCTTACAAGAGAAGACAAGTTTGTGACACAGCGAAGACACCTTCGAAGAGTTTCTCTACTGGATCATTGTGGATTTCTGGCAGTGGATTGACGCTCTGGGAAGATGCAATCTGAATTTTCGATGTGATTTTGTTCTTGAGACATTGATCCTGTGGAAGAGAGTGTTGCAGCGAAGCCGATAAACTTTGAGAATATTTGCTTTGAAGCTGTGAATATTGAGAGGGTTATTGAGGGATAACAGAAATAGAGAACTGAGAAAGTTTATGTGATTTTAATAGACATGTATTTTTGAAATAATTTTTGACATATTTAATATTTTTTATTTTTTTATTTTTAATATTTTTATTTTATCATGTAAGATAATTAACAATATAGATTATATAATATGTATTAAAATTGAAGTGAGTTTGAAATTAATGCAGTCTAATTTTATAAATTTTCTTATCAATAGAAATAAAAAAATAAAATGCCTAAAGACAATATAAGGATAACATAAAGATAACATAGAATAACATAAGACAATGTAAGACAATATAAAGACAACATAAAGACAACTAAAACAATCAAAAGTAAAAAATAAAAATAAAAAAACAAAAATAAAAATTGAAATTAATTTTCGAGCTAAAATTAAATCCATGAAAGGCGTGCGTAAAGCACAATTACATAATATTTATGTAAATATGCAAATTTAGATGTGATGCGATGAGAAAGCTATGCTTGGAATCTATGGAAAATAGTACTATTTTTGAAGCTGCATACAGACAATAACAACGCATTTTATTTAATTTTATTTTCTATCGTGAAAAAAAATATTAAAAATTCTATAAACTTTTTTAATTACGTAATTTTTTATGATCTGCTACATTTATTCAATATATATTAATTAAATCAAATATTTTATAATATATATTTGTGCTTTTCATTTTTTCACTCTTCATTGTCTATCTCTTCATTATATTGTTGTTTGCTGGTTTTCGTTCTCTGAAAAGATTCAGTTGCATACATTTTGCTTGTTTGTTCTTCTCCCTTCTTTGTTTGTCTGCTCTTCTGTTTACTTACCTGTTTACGGGCCATTATGCAAAAACGACCGACTTACATAAAACTTTCAGTGGACTTTATAACTCATTTAAACTTAAATTTGAAATTTTGTGAAAAAAAGTTTGCAATAAACTCAATTAAAAATTCGAATAATTCAACAATATGACATTTATAAGAAAATTTTACGGAATTAATAAGAAAGAATCAAATGGATAGAAACCTTTTTATAGAAAAATTTTCTACAGGAAAGATATGCTGTGATATGAATTTTTTATAGGAAATAAAATAAAACATCTTGCTTGTGTTATTATTATTTATAAAATAATAGCGCCATGTTATTATTATTTATAAAATAATAACAAAATGTAAAACAAAAAATTGCTAAAAACATGCTAATATATTATAATTATCTGTTTTTAATTACAAGCTTTTTTCCCTATTATTTTTTTCACTTTTTCTTTTCTTTTAGGAATTTAAAATTTTTTCCAATCTTATAAAAAGAACGAATTAAATTCTATATTTAGTAACTCTAATCTAAATTAAAATAAATACGTTTTATTTTTCTTAATTTTGCCGAAGTTTATAATTATATTCCTTATTTATTTTTTAAAGCTTGTCGGTAAACACATATTTATTTTATTAATAAATTCGGAATTTTACAAGAAAGATTTATATGGAAAAAAAAGAAGTCATTAAGGATGTTTTGTACAATCCCAGCAAAAAGTAGCTGAAAATTAATATTGACGAATATATCCACTTTTGTATTTTGAGTAAGCAGTTATGTGGAATATTACGATTTGATCTTAGCTACAGTGCAGAGATGTATTTTTTAATGTTTATTGCGTTTTTACTGAAATATTCCGAATTTTGTGAATCGAAATGATTAACTTTTGACAGAGAATTTCGCCTTGTGACAGATACATGGCTAACTTGATTGAATTATATTTAATATTTTTTTAACCAGTTAGTACTTGTATAATATTATTTGACCAAATATTTCCTCTGTATCTAAACTTTTGCAAATTTTCAACAAATTCTGAATATTATTTCCATGTGTTTTTGTCATTTAAATCGACGTAGTTATACGTTTCCCATAAGAACACATGTTAATTCAGTGCAAATTAAATCCTTATAACTTGTGAACGCTTCAGTGAATCGATTTAAAAATTGTACTGAAGATTTTAAACATATTTAAGGACATTCTACAATTTTTATTAAATTCTCAATATTTTGAAAATAGATACAAAACATCCTTAAATGGTCAAATAATAATTTTTATTCTTTTCCTGAAATATAACACAATAAAAAGCAGATATATACTTATTAATATTTTTCCAGAAAAATTATTAATATTTTCAAAAAAGAAATAGAGAAATTGAACTGAAATTTTAATTCTTAATCACGTGTTTATGATGCTAGTAGAAATATTAGTTTTTTGCATTCTTAAATAATATATAAGATTAAACAAGTTTTCTTTTGTTTGTCTTCTAGTTCTGCATCGATCAAGGATATTTTATCGCCCAAGTATAGAAACTCTAGCAAATTTTTAATCGCAAAAATGGCGGCTTTCAATGGAGTTCGTGTGCTGCCAGATATACCGAACATGGAGACCTTAATCCAAGAGTTCGAGACAGGCTTCAGATCGTCCAATCGCCAGGAAGTCGTTTCGGAATCGTCGATTTCAGGCGGCGGCAGCTTCGTCAAGAAAATCGTCGAAGCTTACGAGTCGAGTGTTAAAGCATCTATTGATAATGCTGAGCAGGAGCACGCTAGCAAAAGGTCCAGCCTTTTCAACACTATACGGAACCGGAAGAATGTGGAAAAGAGCGATTCAAGTCCCTCGATGTACAGCGAACTCGGCAGCAACTTGCGACGTTGGAGCAGTCTTAAAAATACATCGGAAATATCTTCCACCGTGAAGAAGTATGATCTTGAAGACGATTTCGTGATGCCTAATCAATACCATTCGAAGAGCTGCAAAAAGACCGACATCTTAAAGACGTGGTCTTCCAAGATAAATAAGTCTGGTCTTATGAAAGAATTGATGAACATTCGACCCAATTCCTCGAAGAAAAGCGAAACGGAAATTCTGGACGGAAGAGGTCAAGCATTCTACAGTCCCCCGGAAAGTGAGAGAAAGTATAAATCGAAAAACAATATGCCATTGATCTGCTCGAGTCCTTTGGAGGATGTTGACGATAAAAATATAGATTATATTGAGGATCCTCTTGACGATATCTTGACGAATTCTCATGATTCGAGCAACGCCAGCAATAATAGTTACAAAAACTTGCAAGTCGACTTGTACGACTTCGAGAGCGAAGAATGGGAATTATCCTCGACTTCATCATCGCGATCATTGAATTCTTCTTCGAGATCTTTGCACGATGATACATCGAGCACAAAGAGTCATACCAACGGCAATTTGTTATTAGAATCATCCTTTGAGGACGTCACCGTTATACCTTCTAAAGATTTAAACGATTGTGAGAACCAGGTCGCGGAAGAGATATTAGAACCCTCCTCTAACTTTATCCGGAAATTGCCGCAAGTGATCGGCGTTTCATTGAAACGACCAATCAAGATCGACAACGATACATCCATCACGTGGTTACCGGTGCTGGGTGAGAAGTTGCCGCAAAAGAAATCATTGAAGAAGCTATTGTCAATGTTTAATCGAGCTAAGCTATCATTAAACCACAGAAAGAAATCAAAGGAGAGGCAGCCGAAGAAGCAGCACATCTTCGACTCGGGATTTATCGAACAATGTCCGTCAGTGTCGTCTTCCTCTTCGCAACAATCCTGGTACTCTGATACCGGTCACGTCGACAACAAGCCATCGACGCCGCCAACCTTCGGTACATTTGGCCGCCCGAAATACGTCAGCGAGCATTGTAATGGCAGGACAGTCAAGAGTCGCATGATGTTGACCGAAACAACTCATGCTCCGGAACTGGCAAATGATTTTGTATCTTTTGATCCGAATCCCTCGCACAGGACAACTCTCTTGAACGAAGAGAATTGTCAGGACGTCGAATCTTCATTGAAAAACGCAGGTTCTTCGAAGGTTTTCTGCAAATACCCGTTGCTTCCTAAGCACCCCCATTTGATCCGTAGCAGCGTCCCCAAGCATCCTTTTGTCGCGTGGACAAAAATGGATCAAATAGAGGAGGAGGAAGCGATAGTAGAAAAAATGCAGAGTGGCGAAGAAATCGAACAGAAATCTGATGTGCTCGAATTGAGGTGTTCGAGTACGTTGCCGATACCTGTGCCTCAATCTACGTTAAACGTTTCGTATCCCAGGATATCCGGATGCGCGGATTCCTTTGCGAATAACAACTATGACGTGCCAAAGTAATTATACAATAATAATATGATAATAAAAATTAATAATAATATAATAATAACATATATATTACTAATATCAGGGTTGGCATGTTTTAAACAATGTGTTTAAAACTGTTTGATTAAAACTTAAAACAGCGGACACTGTTTTAAACATTTTTGTTTTAAACTGTTTTAAATTACTGTTTAGAATCGTTTAAAATATCGCAAATAAAATATATGATTATTTGGAAAAGAAATTGTAAAAAAAATCGTAAACAAACAAAAACTAATAGATGTGTATATTGCAAACAAGTTTTTGGTTTAGCGTTTTTAGTTTTTTATCTATATTTATGTAACATATAGATATAAAAATATAAATAATAAAATAAAAATTATAAGATGGGTATTATTTTAGCAGAATATTAATTTTTGGATATTAAATAACAATCAATACAATAAAGATTACTTAGAAGATATTGACTGACTTTACATTTTACATTTTAGCATTTTAAATTAATAATATATAACTCAGGTAGTTCTAAAAAAACGTTCTTCTTTTAAAAAAAAGAATTGAGGTTTTTTCATTTTTCTTTTATTTATAATTTATGTTAAGAGTTAAGCATGAAGTTACTTAATAAGAATAGGAAAGGAACCAAAGTATTATATATTAAATATTATTAACTAGAACTTTTTTTCTCTAAAAATAAATAACTCCAAAAATAAATATTTTGCTAAAATAATACTCATCTTATCTTTTTTATTTTATTATTTATATTTTTAATAGCGTTGTCAATTTTGGCAACGTTATTTACTGTTTAATGCTAGCGAAAAGTTTAAATATTTACACAGATCAAAGCTATTAAATGTTTTTTGTTTGTTTAAAACATGCTTTTTTTGTTTAAAACATGTTTTTTTTTACTTTATTTAAAAACACAAATAAAACAAAAAAACATTGCTCCAAACAAAAAAAAAACGTTTTTTGTTTAAAATAAAAAAAACAAGTTTTTTGCCAACCCTGACTAATATGTTACAAAATTTAACATCGTAAGTATATATATTAGAATATACAGGGTGTCCCAGACTTAACGAATCAGCCATTAATGAGAGATTCCTGAGATCATTTGGAAACGAAAATCTTAATACTAAAATGTTGAGGAAGATGTAGTTTCGGAGCTACAAACGATTAAAGATCACCAATCGGCGTGTTACGTTATTTTGCTCAGGGATATAGCGCAAAGGACCCGCGTACAGCGATAATATCGATATCAATAGAGGGATCAATATAAAATAAAAAATAGAATTCTGGAATGAGCGCGATTATGTCTTCGATGTGACAGCAGTTAGTAGTTTGAACATTTTTATGAAGTCTTCCTCAACATTTTAGTATTAGAATTTTTGTTTCCAAATGATCTCAGAAATCTGCTATTAACGGCTCGTTAAGTTTGGGACACTCTGTATAATAATTAGCAATAATATAGGGCAGAGAAAGTGGAATTTAATTTTGACTTTTTTATCTTTTGCTACGTACGTCAGGATAAAATATATAGGTAATAGAATATATATATATATATATATATATATATATATATAATTAAAATAATAAAAACTGCTTTATTAAACAATACTTATAATTGCGACGCTTTTCGCAGCGCAATTAATTATTTTAAAATTAATAAATGCATGTATTATTATTGCAGTCCACATAAGTTAACGTCGGCGCTCGATGAGGTCGTTTTTCGTCGACAAGCACCCACCTACGATGTTCCTCGACGTTCCTGGCTGTCTAGTCTTACAATGGATTCCTCGCCTCCCGTTTATAGCGATAACTTATATGAGGAGATCGTGCCTTGCATGCCTCGTTTTGCCACCGTGAGCCCGAAAAACTTCAGATTTTTCATATCCCAAGAAAAATCACGAGCGATCGAAAACAGCTTTGACAGCTAATAGAGTATCGGAAGTATTATCTTTCTCCCGAAAAAAATTTTCGACGAGGTCGCATGATTAATTAATTAATTCGTACTTGGTTTAAAAACAATTAACTCTCTCAAAATCTTATTGATAAATAAGTTCTTCTTCACTTTTTTAAACAGAGTATCTTAATCGATAAATATATTTATAAGTTATTCGGAAAGCTTCTAGTTTAACGCTATTAGTTTTTCATTTCAAATTACGATCAAATTTTTTGCAATCGAACGTTGCTTACTGAAAATTAATTTATAATCATTTATAATAGCTCATGATTAAAACTATTTCTCTACAAGGATCAATTTCACCGTAATATCAGATTAACGAAAATGATTTAGACTTGTGCATGGTTTACAGCGTTTATTGTTTGCGTTGTGTGAAATAGTCGAAAAATTATTAATTACGAATTTGCACGTTAATTTGCAGACACGTTGATATTAATTGACATCGCAAATTCGAGAGCGCTGTTTACATTTATTCTTATTTCAGTAAGATTCCAATCTAACATTTCGATTAACGATTGAATTTGTTTAATGATCTAATGCGACTTTTGTGATAATATTCAGCAAAAAGTTGAATTCTAGATCTTCAGGAAACTTGTGTTTCCGTGTTAATCAATGTATTTTATAGCTCTGATTTCAATGATTTCTTTCAGACTATTCTTACGCGACTAAAACACAATTAAGAGAATATATCAATTAAAAAATGGGTTCTGGAAAATTAAAAATTTTACTCGCATGCGTTGGTTTGCTTCTTTTGAAAATATCACGCGAATACTCAGAAAAATTTTTCCCCAAATGTATTATAATAATAACGTCACTCGCAATTTTATTTCCGTAAATTTTCTACCGGAAAAAGAATACTTAATAACGCCTCGCTCATTCGTTGTAAATACCGCATGACAATTTCGCATGCAAAATTGCATTTTTAATTTTCTTTTAATCCCTTTTACGTTTTCGTAAAATTTTATTTAATATAATCTTTTCGCCTCTCTCTCGCATCGTACGCAAAAGAAAGAAGAACTTTGACATTTGTAAACAAGTTTTCCATTTACTCTTATTTGTCTCTGTCTATGAAATTCGTAGCTTCCAATTCGCGACAGGTTCATGATATCGCGAAAATCTCGATCATTTCTCGCGAAATGATAAAGATTCGTCCGATAGGTTTGATAATATTGTACAAACTTAGGGCGATGTCGTGTAACGCCACGAATTTAGACGAGAATGCGCTCGTCGAGTCTTTCGTATTTCTTGCGGAAATATCGAAAAAGATCTCGAGATAGCATCGAACAGTCTCTGTCATTTATACGATAACGATTTGGCAGCTCTTGACGTAGGAACCTGTCGATATGTTGCGATTTTCTTACAGTAACATTTTGATATGATATTATACGTGCAATTGATTGCACATATTGATATGCGTTCAAGAAATTAATATACTTTTTAGTACTTTTTATATCCTTTTTCATATTTTTATATATTTTTGTACTTATACGTGTAATTCAGATTTTTCTTGTATAACGTCCTATCTTTTTTGCTCCAATAAATGCAGTACATTATATTCCAAATAGAGGATGGATTATTATTTACAATTTTATAATACAAATATTATACCATTTCCGGCAACATCTCTTTGAGTAAATTCTTAGATTATTTTTTTTCTTCATAATTATTTTTAAGTAAATATTATTTTAGAAATCTGGGTAAACATTTTCATAAATTTCATTTGCAAAGATTATGTAAATTTCTTTCTAAACTAATATATACAAAAAGATTGTGATCTTTCTCTTTTTTTAATATTTTAATTCTAGTGAAAATCTTTAATATTTTTACAAACTGTCATATTTTTCGCAATTAGAAATATTTGTGAATGCTTTTCTTTGCAATGTTTACAAATTTAGAATGAATGATATGTGTGGAGCTCCATTTTATCAATATTTTATCAAACCATCGTTGATAAAATATCGATAAGATGGAGCTTTTGCGCAAGTAACAAGACGAAATCGGCACAAATTTATACCTGATGGACGATGTCAGCGTGATTTGCATGAAATTCGCCTCGCTTTGATGCGTTATAACATTTGTAACAACAACCCTCCGACATATAGATGGCTGATATACGGGACAAGGACGAGAATGTATATTTGTAGAGATATTTTGCCGCATAATGCAATGGAAATTATGCGTGAAAACAAGGTAACGAGAAACGTTACCCTTCACGGTTACGCGATATGTTGCGTAGTTTTCCTAAGTAAAGCCATTCGTTTCGAAGAGCAGGTTGCCTGTTTAAGTATTGTCACGCGATAAAGCTTCTACCCGAATCACGATCACTTCCCAAATCTGCGGGATGTCAAACCTTGCGCAATAATATGTCCCCTCGTAAATTCCTTTTTGTTGTAGCTTAATTCCAAGAACTCCAGATTTGACATAATTTCTTAATTATCGTTCCTATTTGTTACGAATTATTTTAGTAATCAATAATAATGAATAAATAATAATAAATAAAAAAAATAATAAATAATAAGAATAAATTATAAATTAAAAAATAAATAATATATAAATTATTCGTTTCGGTGAAAATGTCTTAAACAAAAGTTATATGGTTTTAAGGGGGCTATAAGATGGTGTCATTGGTTTTATCTCAAAAAGTCGTTTGAGAGAGTCACGTGAAGATTAACTTTAATTTTTTAAATGGGACATCTTATATATTTTTGCATATTCTTGTAGCTTGTCTCAAGAGCTTTCCAAAATACTATAATTAAATATTTTTCATTAAGTACTTTTCGAGTTATGAAGCTTGAAATAATTTCTAATTTTACATAAACCATAAAATATCTAGTAAAATATTCATTTTTTGATTATCTTACCTTAACACTTTTATGCACAAAATAATGTGAGAAACCGATTGGTGTAAAGAAAACATACAGTTGTTTTAAAAAAAAAAATATGGAATTGTTAATTGCAAATTACATATTTTTTCTTAAAAACAACTGTATGTTTTCTTTACATCAATTGATTTTTCTCATTATTTTGTACATAAAAGTATTAAAATAAAATAATCGAAAAATGAATATTTTATTAGATATTTTATGGTCTATGTAAAATTAAGAAATTATTTCAAGCTTCATAACTCGATTTTGGAAAGCTCTTGAGACAAGCTACAAGAGAATATGCAAAAGTATATAAGATGTCCCATTTAAAAAATTAAAGTTAATCTTCATGTGACCCTCAAACGACTTTTGAAGGTTGAAAACCAATGACACCATCTTATGGCCCCCTTAAATCCGTACAACTTTTGTTTAAAACATTTTCACCAAAACCGCCATGGTTTTGAGATATTCGAGTGTGAAAGTTAAAATGGAAAGCCCTGTATAAAATTATAAAAAAAGGACATTTGATATTTCTTGATGTATAATTTATTCTTTAAAAACTATTTATATACTATTTGAGAGAGAGAGAGAGAGAGAGAGAGAGAGAGAGAGAGAGAGAGAAGTTGTTTTAAAATGTTTCATTATTATATCTATTTACATATTGTGTCAAGGAACATTATGGAGTCTAGGAATTTATAATTGCTTGTTGTCGATAATTATAACATGTTTGCATAGACAACTGACAACTGCTGTCGAGCGGTATCGATATAACAAACTGGAAATTACATTATTCTCTCTATGTCTCTTCTTGAAATTATATTAAAATTCTCATAATCTTATTGCGAGAATTTGTCGATTTTATTTTTTTGTTTCATAAATCAAGTTTAATGTTGCCAAATTTATTAATTTTCCATTGTATATATAAATTTATTAAGTCTTTTATTATATATATTAATTTTTATAAAATTATTACTCGTTAAAGGTTGGCGGATTAAAAAGTATTGACAATTTATTTTAATTTATTTTATGTTTTTAAATCTTCAAGACTATGCATAATTTAACTTGAAAATTATTACATTCCTATTTGTTTTTGCTATTTCTGTCTATCAATTTTAATTCTCAAAATGCGTAAATTACAAATTAAAAAATAAATAATATATAGAATAGATCTTCTTACAAATTTAATTAAATTCTAAAAATATCGTATAATATCACTTTTTTATAGAGATCTGGTATTATTTCAAGCAGGATTTAAAGCAGGAAAAATGCAAATATTAGTTGTTTGCATGTATTAAGTATTATTAATAATATCATTTTTCTGTAAAATTTTAAATTTACTTTAAATATCCTTCTCTTTATAAGAGCATTTGTAAGACTTACTTTATCGAGTTCGGGATATCGCATGCGACCGTTCGATGACGTAGATAATAGCATCTGCAATTTTCCGCCCACGCTTGAAAATAAGCGATGACGTAGATATATCCATGGAATCTCACCCACGCAAGTTTATACCGAGTAACCTCTCTTGGAATATTTTCTTCTTTGGATTTCTTGAGTAATTTGTAGTCGATCTTTCGTTACGAAAAAGCTTTTTTATTTTTTATTTTCTTAAAACAAGCACGTTACATCGATATTTGCAAATATTATTATTTCTTTTCCGTGATTATTTCAACGTTGTGTTCCTGCACTACTTCATATCAAATAAAAGCTTGTCATGGCTGAACGATGCATATGACAGTTCAAATATTAGGTGATGCGTAATTTTAATCTAGAAAAAACTAAAGAAAAATTACATGGAAAATTACATAGCAGAAGGAAATTAAATGACGCATGTTTTACAATGTTCTAATATTCAAAAATGAGAACAACACGATATATAACGCGTTACACGTTAAAAAAAATTAATCTTCAAGAAATTCGAGAAAAACATAATGTATTATTTTCAATTTACTGTGAAATATATAGATCAAGAAAATTATATCGAGTCTATTCGAAAATTTCAGAAGTATATGTATTTAATAGAAAATTATATAACTTATATGAATATTTCTCTGGAACGAATTATATTTATACTTTTAAAAATTTTGGAAAATACCATTATATTTAAGAGTTTAAAAGAAAAGAGAGAACTTGGAGGTCTACATATCTCCATATATATATATTAACTCGTCCACCGAAACGTAAATTTCGCTCGAGATTTAATTCCTATTAGTTAGATGCCATAACTCGTAATATGAAGCGAATTAATATACAAACTCATTTAACTAAATTAATATTAAATCTTCCTAAAAGTACTTTGCAAGTTAATACAACGTTAGACGATAATAGACATACAATATATATATAGTAGGTAATAAAATCGCGAGATGTAACATTCTAGTATTGATTTCAATTAATTGAAAATAATGGCATTATAAAACAATTTTTTTCTAAATATAAAACTGTTTTTCTTTTACTTTTTCTTGTATAAAAATTTATATTTTATTGATTTTAAAAGGACGAAAAAAAGAGAAGAAGAGATGATCTGATATTGAATATTTTTTCTTAACATTTGATTTTTTCAAGTGAAATATTCTTAAATCAAAATTTATTTTTTATGTATCTAGATATTGCAAAATTCGAACTTATTATTGTTTCTAATATACATAATAATTTTTCTCAATTTTATCACGCTATCTCTTTGAACCGTATGCAACGATAAAAACGAATCCATGTGCATTTACTTGAGAGAGAATAGCATCGGTACAAGACCGTGAAAGGCGCAATTTTCCGGAGCGATGGCGTAGAAAATAGATGCTATTGTAGCATTGCTGACTGTCGATGACTCTTCCATTTCTCGACAATAATCATTGTTCGCGCTTTGTTCGCGAACAAAGTATCGTTAAGGTATCATTTTTCCCGCAGAATCACAGGAATTAAAAATCTCCAGTGATTGTTTAAGAGTGCATTTTTAGAAAAGGTAGAGAGAAAATGTCTCGAATAAATGGCGTATAATTTTATTTCTTAGAATCTTAAAATAATTCTTTTGTACACTAGAGAAGATTTAAGAACATTGTGTTATACGTTTTCGAAATAATGAGAAAAATGTGTGGAGGAATTACTAGAAAAATGTTCAAATACTCGGCGAAAACGTAATCCTCAAGGACATGAATTATTATAATCCACTTTTCGTACAGCGGTACAGATCTATTTCCTGGTAAGAATGCACTTTTACAAAAGAAGGAACAGTTATTTTCTTTCTCCTTTGAAAACGAAATATACATAAATATATGCAATCTTTTCAATATTACATATATTTCTATACATATGTTTCTTATATTCGTTTGTCTCTCATTTAAAGTTAATATTTTTGCAAAATAAAAATTGAACATTATTAATGTTAAATATCTTCTTGATTATTAAATTAATGATGTATGCGAGAATAATAATAATTCTATTTAATTAATAAAAATATTTTTAATTATTCCTTTTTTACTAATATCAACAAATGCTTTTTGAATTGTAATAAGTTAATTAATACTTAATAATTCTTTTGAATTATAATAAGTTAATAATTAATAATTAATAAGTATTAATAAGTAATAATTAATAGTTAATAATTAATAATTAATAAGTTAATAATTAATAATTTGTAAGAACATGTTTATTGATGTAATTAATTAAAATAAAAATTTGGAAAATACGGAAGATATTTTGTCATTTCAGAATTCGCAAAAAAATCTTTGAAAATTCTTAATGCGGCTTTCCATATTACTTAATTGTTTTATTATAATTTTATATAATTTTATAAATTTGTATATTAATATTTTTTACGAATATATACTTAATAAAATCCATAAGTATAGAAACATTTTTATTAGATTTTGTATCATTATTTTTCCTTAAAATTTTTACATGATGGATAATTTAAAGTCTAGATTATCCACCAGGAAAGATAAAGCAATATTATGCAAATTCGATAACGTCAAGTAGACACGAAGCAGTGGTTAAAGAGGCTACATTTAAACTTGTAAACAAATCGCTTTGTGTTTATATTTTACAATTTTTATCAAAATGTTGTAGCTTTAGAATAATACGTTACGAGGTATTTTAGAATGTTATCAAAAATATTAGATATCATAAATATATAGCTTTTCTCTATCAATATTTTTAGAATATATTTAAATTGTTGTTGTTATAATAAGAAAAAATGCTTATGTTTTGAAGTAATTGTTTGAAGATTTATTAAATGATAATTTATAAAATTCTTGATCACATTCAAATAATATTTATTTAATTTTTGAACATGATTGATCACATATTTTATCAAAAATTAAACAGATACTAAGTGACTATAATCATCTATTATTACTAATTTTATAAAGGAGGCAGTATTATATATTTTCGCGGAAGATAAGAGAGAATTCGCGAAAACTTCCAATATTGATTAAGAAATCTAACCAAACTCTTTTGAAATAATCTTTTTGATAATAATATTTGAATTTTAGCCACTTGATTTTCTGAAAATTCATATATATATATCTCTTCTCTTTTTTTCTTTTTATTTATATAGAATCTAGGTAATTGGAATATCGTTTTGGACAAAGTTTATCCCGTCCACAAGTTTTATAATAAATATATTAATTTTTTTCAATGAATAAAAATTATTCGATAAATAGGAAGAGTTACTTTTAGCTATTATTAATTATTATTATTTGCAAATACAACATTGCAAGAGAGAAAAAATGTCGGAATCAGAAATTTCGGATATTTTAACTTTTCCTATTTGCTTCCCGAGTCACCTACCTGTTATTTTTCAATGTCCAGGCCTTTGACGTTTGTAAATAACGTACATCGATCGATGTCTTCATATATATATATATATATATATATATATATATATATATATATATATCAGCAACGAGATTGTTTTACTTTATGTTGCTTTCGACATAAACTAATAAAACGTGTCAAAAGCAGCGGGATCGGCAACATCAAGATACTTCATCGGTAAATTCAGTTTCCGGATTTATGGTTTGCAACAACCATAACATGAAGCTCTGTTTATGATTCGCAGTTATGTGTGTGATACAAAAACGAATATTACGCCTTGTTATAAGGAAGAAATTTATATGAAATTTATAATAATTTTAACATCTACAATATTGCGGTATTTATATGTCAATAACTCGTAGATTATAATATTAAAAATGAGAATATATGAAATGAAAGGGTGATTTTATTGAATTATTTAAAAAAGCATCTCTCTCTCTCTTATATTCTTTTTATTCAGTAAATATAATAAAATAAAACATATATAAATAAACATATAAATAAAACATATATTTCATTTTTTATATCATAGGAGGCAATTTGTCTTTTTTAAAAATGTGTTAATATTTACTAAATGTATATTTAATTTGTTACAAATTAGTACATTTTCAATCTTTCGAATTTTTGTAAAATTTTAAAAATAGAAAATAATTTTAAAATATGTTTATAAATTTAAAAATTATGAACGCTATTGAGAGTATTTCTCTTCAAAGATGTACGGAAATGTTTTTCTTGAACGATTCCTAAAATTCTTCGAGCGTCATGAACAATCTTTGATTATCACGAAAAAGTTATGCGAAATGTAGATACTGTTTTTATAGTATGGTTAAAGTTTGCATTTCATGAAAGCTTGATTAAACACATAAACTACTACACACACACACACACACACACACACACACACACACACACACACACACACACACACACACACACACACACACACACACACACACATGTACATAACACATACACGATTATGATAATTATATTTTGACATAACAGAAAATTGAATTCAATATATTTTATTTAAAAAAAAATATGTATATATATTTATAAAAAGATACTTAAATGAAAAATTATACAAATTTACATATAAATAAAATTTACATATAAATAATATAAAGTAATATATTAAATATTATATAATATATTAAATATAATATATAAATATAATATAATATATTAAATATTTGTATAAGTATATTATTATACTTTTTAGTATATTATTATAAAATATATTAAAGTATATTATTATACTTTAGTCTTTATTTTATCTCCTTTTTTATCATATTTCAATTTTTTATAGTTTATGGAAACAATTTTCTGAAACTCTATGTATTATATATTGCAAAATCTACAATGTAGATGATTGCATTATATATTTGCATTAGACAATCTTCTTATCCGATATGTAAATCGATGATAAATCTCGCACAAGATTAAATATGTTGTAGAAAAATTATTTTGTCGACTCCTTGCAACAGTATTTTGCAATTTATGACTGAATTGTTAATTTGCTTTACGTCAGTTTGGAACAGCGCTGCGACATACGATGTACGAGCGAAGGACAGTTTATAAAATTTATACATAAATCTAAGTAAATAAATATATAAGTAAGAAACATTGAACTTTGGAAAGTTTGATAGAAAAAAAAAAAAATTCATACTACGTGTGACACTAATGTGTCGAAAAATTATCCACGTATTAATTATTTATAAATGTATGCAAATTATAAGTCTCATTATTGTATAATTTTATATTACTTACGTGAAAATATTTTCAAATCAAAATTTAATTGATAACTTTTTTAAATTTATTTATTTAATTCAATTATAAGTCTATCTTTATAATCTAATATAGTAATTTTGAATTATCTTCGCATAAATTTTAGAAAGACGGTTTCCTTCGAATACTGAATTTACTAAAAGAGGCTACTGTAATCAGTGACGGGTACAATTCACATGCAAATTCTCTTGCTCGCTATTTCGCCATTATTGTGCATCATCTACTTAGTGAAAGAAAGTAGTTTAAAGAGGATGTGGTATAGGCGATAAATGGTCATTTTTATCAATTTATCGGACTCGAGATCTGATAAAATTTTATTAACATTTTAAACAATAGCAAAAATCTAGGAATTTATTAACAATTATACATAATTGATCGAACATTGTATTGCAATATAAGAAGAGAAAAAGGAAGAAAAAGAGAGAGATTTCGCATTTTTAATTTTGTATGAAAAAAGATGTGACATTTTAATAATTTTTTTAAATTTATTTCCTTATGAAATTAAATAAAGATTAGTATTAATACTATTGTTAATTATCATTAGCTACATTTCTTTCAATTAAATACATTTGTTCGATTTGATAATAATTACAAATCATTAATGCTAGCATTTCGCATACATCGACTTAATAAAAAGAAAATACTTTTGAAATTTATAGTTCTAAAATACGGCGTCTTTTTCTTTTTTATGCCAATTCAATGCAGTTGCATTAGTATAACCAGATATGTAGTCAACAAGGCTGCAGTCTGAAAATAATATCAATGAAATCATAACTTTTCAATATTCCAATAAAATACGAGGAAGATATATTCAACATATTTATATAATTCTCTGAATAAACAGCAGAATAATATAAAATTTATATAAATTATAATATAATTGTATAAATTATCATAACATTTGTTAAAATTAATTAATATTAATTAAATATAAAAATTATTGCACATATAATTGTGTTGCATATTTTTTCAAGTTTTCAAGTTTATTTGCTAAAAATACAAAAATAGAAAATATGCAAAGTGTGAAGTAAAAATGTAATTGTTGAGTCACGTCAGATATTACAATGGAATATATCAAATCCTCGTAAACACATTTATCATGATAATCTAAAATGGTGTGGAACACCATTAAACCTAATTGTAAGATAATTTTGTAGAAGACTAATTTCAGAGCTTCGCTAAGCTATTGCGAAGCTATTGTGGGAGGATTTAGAGAGTCCAAATATCATCGAAGTTGTGCACTTGTACAATTGTTCTACACGAGCAACAATTTGCCAAGTGCCAATTCCAGGGCGATAGAATAGAAACTAGTTGGAAATACACGAATTTCGATGATTTGTGAGATCAAGATACAGAATCGAAGACGCTTTTTGATCACGGTACGATTTACGAGCGCGTTTAAGCTAGCATTTATAGCTTCTCGAGTCCCGCTGGGATATCGGACCAGAGCCAATTAACCTTTACCTTTATCACGTCGTGCCTGGAGTTGAACGCGATCGGTGTTAGTTTGGCAGAAAAACAATCGCTTTAAACGATCGTTAGTAACACGTTGAATCTATCTTTATTATTTTTTTCAACGAGAATCGATCGCGAGCATTTATGAATGATTAATAGTTCTTTGATTGCGAGAGTAATATAAATATTCAGTAATATAAATATTCAGTGTTTGTCACATTTAATTGCGACGTCGGCAAATATTGCATGCGTTTCTTTTTAATTATGCAGCAGATTTTTAATAAAGTTGTTTATGGACCTAAATATTTTACAAAGTAGCTATTATTGTTTACGTATGCACGATAATGTAAATACGATTTATTTTCATTTTCTGATATTAATTTCACTGGTATTAATTTTTATTTTATATTTCGATATAATTTTTACCTTCATTGCTATGCTTGCTATTTATACATTTTATGTTTAAGTATTAATACAATATATCACGTTTAAAATAAGCATAGAATATTTTCGCTTTAATAATTTCGATTAACTCATCCACGTGTCAAGAATACGTGATTGCGTGTCTTTTCTTTAAATCCGTACCATTGTGACGTTAAGCATCGCGATGAGAAACGTGTTCTCCATGCAATTATCTGTGTAATTCAGCGGCTTTGTAGTTTTGATGTGATCATTTATGTCAACTTGCAATATCTTGAGGAGATTGTCTTAATTTCATGAGACGATTTGTCGTTATTAATCATTTTAATCTTTTAAGGTCTTACGAATATAATACTACTTATCCGACCTGTAACTTTTAGCTAAGCCGAAATTTGAGTAATCAATTATAGGATTAATTACTAGGTTCTCTTAATTATCCGAAGCAGAAATAGGATATTCTCATTATATAATCTCTTTAATTAAAAGTCCTACATAATCAGTAAGATGCAAGAGAAATTCCGTGATAACTAAAAGCATTGTTTATTTCGCGATGTATATATCTTAAAAGACACATTTATATTTAAATCAAAAATTCATTATCTTTTACGATACTCTCGTTACTTACAGAACATAATAATGGCAAGTTCACGTAAAAGCATCCACCGGCGGAAAAGTTAAGTCTTCGATTTAGGAATTGCATCGACGAATCCACGCATTCCTGCATTTAGAGAAGAGTTTTTACGCATCGTATGAAAATCGTTGTATAAATAGTTATATTTATCGTTAGGAAGCAACATTAAAAGACAGTAAAAACTAAGAAAATTAATAAAATTTCGATTGGAAAAAAGTTACTTATAAATGATTGAACGTGATTTCTACACTGAGAAAAATCGTTTGATTGTACCAACAAGATGTATTGAAGGCATTTTGGTTAAATCAAACAAGAATTTCTAGTTATCATGATAAGACTTTTTTTTATAACTAGAACGTTTAATAGATTTTACTATAAGGATTTGGTTAGTATTTTCTGGTTGGATCTATAAAATTTCTTGTTACATTAATTTCTTTGCTTGCCACTCTTAACTTAACTCGTATTCAATATTTGCCATAAAATGTATATAAAGAATTAATATTAACATTAAATCCAAAGTATATTTTTTTCTCTTACGAGCAGTAGTGCCAGAAAGAGGACGCTAGCTCTCTGATTGTGTGTGTTTGAGCTGCATCCTCTTTTTGCATCACTGTTTATTAGTTTAATTTCTAACAAACTGAATTTAAAATAACTTATTCAATAATCTGGATTAAATTTATCCAATAATCTTATTGGAATTCAAAATATTAAACAGACTTTTGAGATTAGATGGAAAAAATTTTAGACTTGGTGCTGGCGAGTTTAGTATTATTAACCAGAAAATTTGTTAAATTTAACAGGAAGAAATTAATCAGATTTATCTGGTAATTCCTTCCGAAGAATTCTGGTTCGTCCATTTTTCAACAGATGTACTGCTTGAATCTATCAGAATTCTGATTAATTAATGTAACCAGATTTTTTTCTCAGTGCACTGTTTATCAGTTTAATTTCTAACAAGCTAAATTTAAAATAATTTATTCAATAATCTGGATTGAATTTATCCAATAATCTTGTTGGAATTCAAAATATTAAGCAGACTTTTGAGATTAGATGGAAAAAATTCTCGACTTGGTGCTGGCGAGTTTAGTATTATTAACCAGAAAATTTGGTAAATTTAACAGGAAGAAATTAATCAGATTCATCTGGTAATTCCTACAAGAATTCTGGTTCGTCCGTTTTTTAACAGACATACTGGTTGAATCTATCAGAATTCTAATTAATGCAACCAGATTGTTTTCTCAGTGTATTAAAATAAGCCATAAAAATGAGCAATAAAATATTCGAAGCAATAAAACGCCCTTATCTACTTACGTTATTTGTTTTTATCAATCTCACTTGCCACTCGATAAGAATTGGACTTATGCTATTAGCCTGGAATACAGATGTTTTTTTAAATTTTCTAATAACATTTTATTTGTATTTATATATTTCAAATATTTATATATATATATATATATATATATTTTGATATTTTATTATTCATATATTATTACATCCGTAAAGATGTATTAATCCGTACAAATATCTCTGGCGTAAGTTTATACGATCAAAATTTGTGTGAACTGATTATAATAAATTTTCGATGCTATCTGGACATCATTTTGTCGCAAAGAACGCGATTTAAATATAAAAGTATTTTCTACTTTACAGATTTTACTTGAGAGCAAGCGTAGTGACAGGCAATGTGAAGTAATACAAGCTGGAAGAGGAACGCTGTCAACCAGGCGCTCAAGCAGTACACCAATGACCACGATATTTTATCCCATGGGTTCATGAGTGTCCATACTATTATAAAGTATATGTCGCTGACGGTGTGAAGCCCAAGATTAGCGAGCCAAAAGAGCAGCGACCACGAACATAGCGATTCCAAATTCTCTGCGGCGATCATCAAATCGTTGTGCAGAGTTAGAATTGTCTTGCACAAACAAATAGAGAACATTGTAAGTTCTTATGTTATTAATTTACATTTCTCATATAACATTTATATTTTAAACATTTATATTGTTTCAGAAAAGAAGAACGAATTTTATATATACAGAGTGTCCCAAACTTAATGAATCAGCCGTTAATAGTGGATTCCTAAGATCATTTGGAGACGAAAATCTTAATACCACAATGTTGAAGAAGATGTAGTTTCGCTGCTACAAAATATTAAAGATCACCAATCGGCGCGTTACGTTCTCTTGCTTAGGAACATAGCGCATCAAGAGGCTCGCGTATAGCGCGATAAATTTGAACATTTTTATGAAGTCTTCCTCAACATTTTGGTATTAGAATTTTCGTTTTTTTACGTTATTGTTATATTTTTTTTGATTAAAGAAAAATATTTAAAAAATATGATTCGAACCCTTTTGCTAATGTTAATATTCTTCCTTGGCAATATAGGCGGTAGATTTTTTATCGCCATCATATTGAGATGATGAAACCGTTGGCCTAGAAAGAAAACCATCGCCACAAATTTAAAGAGGGCCATTGAGCTTGCGATGTAGATAAGCATGTATCCCACGTTGTAAAGCCATGTCTCGAAAAAGGCATACATCCCGATGCGATTAACGAAGATCCAGATGACCGTGATAGAAACAGAGACAATCCACGCGACAATTGCAGTCTGCCTCTCTTTGCGAGGAAAACCGAGTTGCCTGACATCCTCGTCATAATCTTGCAGCGCGTTCCATATTTTGGTGAATCTGCGTCTCGTAAATGCCACCAAGCCCAATTCGTATATCGTCATGCTATAGTTGATGATCACCTGTACGATCATATTTGATGATTGCTTCCATGAGTTTCCAATGATTTTGAAATTTAAAATTTAATTACTTAATTAGATCTATGTTTAAAAAATCAATTAATATTAGGGTTGCACAAGACCCAAGACAAAACAATATTCGTAAAAATATTGTATTGGTATTGAAAATTTTCAAAAATTTAAATCTTGTCTTGGTCTTGAGTGAGTATTGGTAGCAAAAATCTCGTCTTGTACTGTTTTGTCTCGATTTTATTAATAATTTTTTATCTAATGTTAAAAAATTATTTAAATAATATTTAAATAATTTTTGTAATATAATTTTTAAAATAATTATTACTGTTGTATTATATTTTAATTATAATTATTGCTATGTAATATATAAATGTCGTTTATTTACATAAAAAAACATTTATTGTTTCATGGAAAATAGAAATTAATAACTATTTACAGGCTCCAAGGGAATGTGCAGATATAAATATTTTGGAGTGGTAAAAAAATTAGGTTTATATTTATCCCATATTGTCAAAAATGGCTCGAGACATTTTAAGTTCGTGCCAGTAGAAAGACTTTTCTCAATAGGAACTCTGACTATGTCAAAAAATAGAACCAGATTACAAAATAAATCTTTAAAAGCACTAATGTGCATCAATTCCTGGGTGAAATGCTCTTTAATGTCTAAAATTTGCAAGTTTGATTTCTAATTTATAAAAATGTTATATCGTATTAATATTAAATGTTTTTAAATTTATTAATATAAATGTTTTTATTGAATAAAATTTTTTTAAATTCGTATATAGTAGACACACACTTTTTTTATTTACAAATATAAATATTTTAGTTTTTTTGAGAACCAATAATCTTGACAGTTTTAGTCTTGTTATTGTCTTGATAACTAATTAAAAATCTTGTCTTGAGCTTGTCTTGAAAGACAAGACAATATCAAGACTTGGTATCTCGTGCAACCCTAATTAATATAGATCTAATAAAAAATCGAGTCAAGAATTTACTTTTCACCATTTATATCGCGAGGAATATCTTTCTTACGAGCAATTTTTGACTGACCTTTGTATCCTCCGTTCCTCCTAAAAGCGCACTATCATCTCTCTTAATGCCTATAGTACGTCGGGCCACCACGTAATATATATATGTATACAGTGTAGCAGCGATCGCCGTAAAAATCAAGTAAATGTTGGATGGTATCAGTCGATCCTGCGAGAAATCGTAAGGAGCGAGACCAAATACCCGCAGAACACAGATCATTGGCCAGATAGACTTGTAGAAAGGTGAATCTGGACCGCGTGGCTTTTTCTTCTGTCTTTTTTTCGCCTGTACAAATACGGTCTCCACATCGAAAGGACGAGCTCGGAACTTCATATTCAGGAAATGGATCGATTCTAATCCGTCGGATTAATTACGTCTGATAAGCATGAGTTCCAATTCCCGTTAATGAGAGGTGTAGAACTTGCACCTGTCTGAGATAATTATCAATTAATATGGCGCAATCATTTACATTTTAAAAGAGACAAAAACACATTCCGTGTTAAAATCGCTTGAAATAAATTACTTCGAATTACTTAATCATTAGAGCTATTGGTATATTATCATGATAATGCTATACAGGGTGTCCCATTTTAACTTTCACACTCAAATATCTCGAAACTATGGTGAAAATGTTTTAAACGAAAGTTATGATTTTTAGGGGGCCTAAGATAGTGTCATTGATTTTACCTTGAAAAGTCGTTTGAAGGTCACATAAAGGTCACCTCGAACTTTTTAAATGGGACACTCTATATACTTTTGCATATTCTTGTAGCTCTCGAGAGCTTTCCAAAATACTATAATTAAACATTTTTTCATTAAGTACTTTTCGAGTTATGAGGTTTGAAATAATTTTTTAATTTTGCATAAATCATAAAATATCTAGTAAAATATTCATTTTTCGATTATCTTACCTCAATACTTTTATGCACAAAATAATGTGAGAAATCGATTGGTGTAAAGAAAACATACAGTTGTTTTTAAGAAAAAATATGGAATTGTTAATTGCAAATTACATATTTTTTCTTTACACCAATTGATTCTTCTCATTATTTTGTACTTAAAAGGTATTAAGGTAAGAATCAAAAAATGAATATTTTACTAGATATTTTATGGTTTATGTAAAATTAAGAAATTATTTCAAGCCTCATAAAAAACTCGAAAAGTACTCAATGAAGACGTACTTTATTATAGTGTTTTGGAAAGCTCTCGAGATAAGCTACGAGAATAACTAATAAAAAATAGGGAGTTCCATTTAAAAAATTGAAGGTGACCTTCACGTGTCCTTCAAACGAGCTTTCATGATAAAATCAATAATACCATCTTATGGCCTCCTTAAAACTATACAACTTTTGTTTAAAATATTTTTATCGAAACCGCCATGGTTTCGAGATATTCGAGTGTGAAAGTTAAAATGGGACACCTTGTATATTTTACATCAGTCACTAATCTATAACAATAATACGTGACATAAATACATTGCAAAAATATCATAAACAGACATTTTTGGAGAACTCAATTAATAGATGGGATTTTACGTGTTGATTAGAAATTTTGAAGACATAAATCCAAAAAAAAGAGAGTACAATATAATTCTTTTAGACTTGATTAAAAAATGCTTCATCCTTGTTCTTAATTTTTCTTGCTGTTTTTTTCCTTTGTATATAATTTATATTAAAGTTAATAATAATTTGCGAAAAAGCCAATTATTTAACGCGGCGCGAAAGCAAAGATTGCAATTCTAAGAAAGTCGATAATGTAACTTCCAATCAGATCTACGTTCAATTTCACGAGTAAATATTGGCTCAGCGAAGTCCAGAAAAATCTATCCGCTTTCGCTTGGTGTCCCGGAAATCACCACGTTCATCGATCAATTGCATTGTCCTAGAAAACGTAATGTCGAAGGACAACACAAAGCTATGATAAATAAAACTGGAAGAGAGAAGCACAAAAAAAACATAAAGAATTAAGAAGAAGGTATAAAATCGTGCGAAATATTTTTGCAAAAGCGGACAGAGAGAGAGAGAGAGAGAAAGAGAGATGCGCTTCCTTTCCTTTTTTTACATAAAAAAAAAAACGTTAGCTCGATCACGATAAAACCAACTATTACGTTTGAAAATCCTGAACGCTTCTCGTTGGATATTTCGAGAGTTAGGCGAATTTCGACGTAGCCCTAGGGCCATTTCGGAGCTGTCGTAAAACTCAAACTTTTTCCGCCGGTTTGTGACGTCAACTTTCCGTCGACGAAAATGTTATAAATCACATAAATATAAAACTCGAGATGGAGAAATAAAAGAGTTACACCATCTCGAAGATAGTGAACCGCACTGAATTTGTCGTTTTAAAAACGCAAGGCTAGAAACGAACTATATTTGAGTAAAAATATAAGATATTTATTAAGATTTATTTTTTTTACGATACAATTTATGGCAAAATGAACTATATCTGAGTAAAAATTTAAGAGATTTATTTCTTTTTACGATACAATTTATGGCAAAATGCGATCGATGAATCGCAATTAGACGCTTATCGTTAACTTTCAGTGAGATTCGATGTACTTACATTACGAATAATTCTCAAAATACACTGTCTCTCCTGAACGACGTCACGAGAACTACTGTGACAGAGATTCAATACGGTGTACACCTTTGTCGCACTTGAAAAAAAAGAGCGAGATTAGAATCGTCCGCGTAAACATATCCACGTGTGCACAAACGTTCGTAGACGTATGTACGTACCGAGTGTGACATGTGGCGCGTTAAATATTATTCCACGTCAGTTCTCGGATGAATAATTGAACAGCAAAGAGGAATAACAGATGAAAACAACTGATCGAAGTGGATACACCCTTTAGATAACTATAATTGAATCGCACACGGAAAATAGTCTCTTTACATTCACGGCTATGCCGACTTGGTTGATTTTATTACGCAAAATATCTCTGACAGACCCTCCGATTATTTATGAAATTTAAAAAAGATATTTATTTTGTTATTTTACACTTTACATTTAGGTAATGTAATTTATTTTTCAATAATAATATTCAAATTACAATACGATGAAATGTCATCGCACATATAATTTATCAAAATTATTTATCATGTAAATATATATAATCGAGAAAGATAAGTTGATTTTTTAAACAATATAAATTTTTTTAAATATATAGAATGAACTTTTGAATTATTTAATATATGATATTGCATAAAATTTATTTTCTTTTAATATTCCATAATAATATATTATATAATATAATTATATTTAATCTTATTATTTAATGTTATTATATAATATTATTATATAATAATATTAAATAATAAAATTATATAAAATTATATATTATATTAGTCTGTTTACATTTGCGGCTATGCCGACTTGGTTGATTTTATTACGCAAAATATCTCTGACAGACCCTCCGATTATTTATGAAATTTAAAAAAGATATTTATTTTGTTATTTTACACTTTACATTTAGGTAATGTAATTTATTTTTCAATAATAATATTCAAATTACAATACGATAAAATGTCATATCGCACATATAGTTTATCAAAATTATTTATCATGCAAATATATATAATCGAGAAAGATGAGTTGATTTTTTAAATAATATAAATTTTTTTAAATATATAGAATAAACTTTTGAATTATTTAATATATGATACTGCATAAAATTTATTTTCTTTTAATATTACATAATAATATATTACATAATAATATATAATATAATTATATTTAATCTTATTATTTAATGTTATTATATACCTAATATTATTATATAATAATATTAAATAATAAAATTATATATTATATAAATATATATTTTTGTATGATAAATAATTTTGATAAATTATATATGTGTTACTCGCGTGTATACTTAATGAAAACGCAACATAGAAATCATAACACAAAGTAGAATAACAGTCAAATGATGATAAATATTTCTGACATAAAAGGAAAACGCGATGAAGTACCGAATGTGTGGGCGAGCACGCGAACAAATAGTACAATATTAGATGAAAATCTAGGGTGTGAAACTATCTCGTCCGGGCGACGCCCTCGAGAAATGTAATTTAACGTAGAACGATATTCGTCGAGTACTTGAAACAACGGCAGGAACGAAACGTATTTTCATATTTTCTCGGCGAAAAGGTGACGAGGTTACATGCCGGCCTCAAAAATAACGCAAACGGCGCAAATAGATTTTGCATTTTCCGTTTTCTTTTTTTTCTGCAACGTTCTCTTCTAAACGTGCGGCAAATATTAATTTTGAATCTAAATAATAGTGATTAAAATTAATAATTAATAATAGTACTAAAATTAATAATAATACTTAAAATTATTGCCTTCATTCATTTTGATATTTCAATGCAAGAGATCAATAATTGATGAGGAGAGATCAATAACTGATTACGATAAATGACATGCACGCATAAATATACAATGCAGAAGTTAACAGAGATGATTCCTTTTGTCAACAGAAGCAAATTTCGAGAGACGTCTAGTGAAATATTAATTGCTCAATATATCCACCAAATGGTATTAATCCGGAACTGATAATTAACAGAATGCGATATCGCGTAAGAGATTAAACAACGAGTTTATTTAGACGCGACGATTACGTCAGTGTTCTCTTTTATCTCATTGATATTCCTGTTACTGCAAGAAAAATTAGTTAAAAGCAAAAAAAAGTATGTCAGCTACCGAAACGCAGAACAAAAAAGAATGCTTTTAAGGACAGTGCGGTGAATACTAGTGGCGCGTCCTCGGCGTCGTTCTCATTTCTCGTATAATTAGATGGAAGCGACGAAAAATGACGAAATACTTTCCAGATTTTTTAAAAATTATTCCATATTTTTTTGTGTTTTTAAAAATGTTCATGAAATTATCCAATTCGCATTTTTTGTAACTATGTGTACTATAATCGTAAGAGAAACTTATAATTTGACAAAAAATGATCAACAAAAAGATTTAGGTATTAAAAAAAAATCATGTTTGATCAATAAAATAATTTTGGACTAATGCAAATATAAAGAAGTATACATTAAAAATAATAAGTTTCGAGCATAAATACGTAAATTGAATGATCTTCAAATGAAATGCGAGAAAGGTATTCATATGTAATTGCATATTTTTTTTTAAAGACAACTTGATATGACTGAAGGAAAAATTAATGAAAATTAAAAAAAAAATTAAAGAAAAATTAAATTAATTTTCTTACAAAATTCGTTTCAAAAATAAATCGTACAGAAATAAATCATATTTTCGTTTTTGAAGATAAAAATACAAGAGCAAATTTATAACAAATATCTAATTATGAAAACAAAAAAAATTAATACGCAATTTTTTTTGTATATTTTATATTGATCTAATATATATAATTTAACTGAATAAGATAGATTAAATGAGCCGATGGATTTAAAAGGAATCTCTTTGTGTTTCATTGTTTAAAAAAAACGTTTAAAAAGATAAACATTTGCGTGTCATCAAAATCGTTTTTTATTTTGACAGCTTATTAATTACTTTAGTGGGCGTGAGCAATTAAATCCGCCGAATGCAGATAATATAGTCCGAAAGTCGAACTAGTTCATTATCTGCATTCGGCTGGAATCTTATTTAAATATCTCGTTCTTTAAAACTCGTTTTCCACCTCTTTCGCTTTCTGCAATTATTTGCAATTCTCAAGGATTTCACGAGTTTTACTAAATGCTTGAAAAATATTATATATTTGTTAAAACTGATGCTAGAACTTATATTTTATTGCGCACGTCCACTTGGAAGCTCTCCATTAAATCTAAAAATTAACCGATATAATATCTTTATAAAAAAGCTGAAAATAAGAATCGTTTATCGCATATTACACCAACGAGAAAAAGCTTTTTAATTCATTTATTCTAATAAACTTTAATAATATGAATAAAATTCCAGACAAATTAATTTTAATTAATATTTATTATTCTTATAATTTCATAAATATAGTAAATATTATGTAATAATTTACAATAACAATAATTACTCTTATATAAACACAAAATTAAATTTGTACATAGATTGAATTTTAAACCATAATGTAAAATTATATCTTTAATTTTATTTGGAAAAATAAATTAAAAAATTTATTCGATAATGTAAAAATATTTATCAAAGCATATCTGATGTATATAAAATATATAATAAAAAATTTGGTTATTATATATATAATCTAATGAAGATTGATATAACTCACAGTCTCTGTTCGAGAAACTGAACAAAACGAAACGAGCACGATCGAAGCGACGCAATTTATCTGTCAATTCGGTTCGTCTAAAACTTTTATTCCCTAAAGACCCAGTCTACCTTCTCTCGTTTCCCCATTTCATTTACGATTCACTGAAAAATCCTCCCCGAATTGTCACATTTGGCAACTCTCGGCGACCGACTATTCGAGATATCCCGGAAGTCATATAATCGCGACGCACTGAAGATGATCAAGGCCAATTTGCTGAGATGAACCTACGAGAGACATGCCACTGACTATCCCCTCGACGGACATTTTCTACGTGACAGGGCCCTCGAATTGTTCCGCGAATACAGACTGTCCAGCACGTATTCTCGAAATTCTCGCGTTGCTCGAAGGGCTCGTGACACGAACGTTTCGGGATTAATCCGATGGCCGAATGAAAGCCGCGATAGTTGAAGGTATAATAGGTTCGTGACGCGATAGCAGTATTGAATGTCGTGTATTTAGGAACACAGGACGATGTCTGGCTACACAATGGGCGCTTTGTTTTATCTCGTTATGGAAGATTAACAATTCCCATCCCTTATCTCGATTTTCTCCAACTCCGATTATTCGCAAGTCCTTATCTTTTTATACAAATATCTTACACAAAATAAGATTGATATAAGAATCTTAATGAGTTTACGTTAATAATACAGGTCTGCGAGGTTCAGTTACAAAAAGCAGAGTAGGTGAGATTTGATAGATTTAGTGACGCTGAAAATGAATTTTCCCAGCACGTCAGGTTTTTGAGTAATTTGTAGTTGAATGACCCAAAAATCGCAATTTTGGCCAATTTCATGAATTTATTGTGGGAAAACCAAATTTTCTGAAATATTTCTGTCAATGGCATTGTATAGTATTCACTTTCACCTTTCAAATCTACTTTTGATTACCGCCGCACGAATTTTTTCCCTCAGATATATTATAAGAAATTATATGACCGGCCATGCACAGGATTCAATAAGCCATTTTAAATCGACCGTGCCACCTCTCTATCTCACTATGAATCAAAATTAGGGTAAAAACATACATTTTTAAATACTTTTATCACCTTTTGAAATTAAAAATGGCGCATCCAATATGGCGGATAAAATTACAATAAAAAGATAAAATTTAGAAAAATTTATCAAAATGTGTAACAACTGTATTAGATACTATTTCTTTACGATACTTTTTGGGGCAATCGAACCTGATGTGTGTCAGTCTTTTGAAATTTCAAAATGATGAATTTATGTCTATACTTATGTCACATTAATGTAAATATGTAAATATGTAAATATGTAAATTTTCATTAGGATGTTTTGTACCTATTTTCAAAATATTGAGAATTTAATAAAAATTGTACAGAATGTCCTTAAATATGTTTAGAATCTTCAGTACAGTTTTTAAATCAATTCTCAAAAGTATTCACAAGTTATAAGGATTTTTATTTGCA